CTCTCTCAAATAAATAAATAAATCTTTAAAAAAAAAATGGTTAAGATGGTAAATTTTAGGGGCACCTGGGTGGCACAGCTGGATAAGCGACCAACTCTTGGCTTTGGCTCAGGTCCTGATCTCAGGGTCATGGGACTGAGCCCCACGTCAGGCTCCACGCATAGGCTGCTGAAGACTCTCTCTGCCCCTCCCCACCCTCCCTTTCTCTCTCTCTTTCGAATAAATAAATAAATCTTTAAAGAAAGATGGTAAATTTTACTTTATGTGTATTTTACCATAATTTTAAATTTTAAGAGGGTGAATTTAATGGTAAGTGAATTATACCTTGCTTAAAAAGAAAGTCAACAGGAAACAGAAAGAACGTCCTATCCTTCCACTCCTCAGAACCTAGACTGCTCAGTACCTGACACAGTGAGCACTTAATATTGTGAAATTCAATTTATTTCATGAAAATATATGGAATGGACAAGTTACAGTATAGTCACTAAGGAACTTCATAAGAAAGGCAATTATTCAGCCGTGAATATTTGGTCCTCATATATCATTTTCCCTGGAAGAATAAAGCATAGAGAAAATTCCCTCAGCGTAATTAAAAATTCCATATTGCCAGGAATAAATCCAAAATAAAAATTTTCTGAAATGAAAAATTAGAGGTACTATAAATCTGACTACTACTTTTAATCCAATAGTAGCTTACTTATGCATATTTTTTGTGTTCAAAGTCTTTTATAAAAATCATGGATAAACAAACTGTGGATTCATACAAGGGAGTATTATTCAGCAATAAAAAGAAATGAACTAGCAAGCCAGGAAAAGACATGGAGAAATCTTAAATGCATTTTGCTAAGTGAAAGGAGCTAACCTAAAAAGACTTCACAGTGGGGACGCCTGGGTGGCTCAGTGGGTTAAGCATCTGCCTTCGGCTCAGGTCATGATCCCAGGGTCCTGGGATACAGCCCCGCATTCCGCTCCTTGCTCAGCGGGGAGTCTGCTTATCTCTCTCTCTCTGCCCCTCCCCCCACTCGTGTTTTCTCTCTCTCTCTTTTTGACAAATAAATAAAGTCTCAAAAAAAGACTTTACACTGTATGATTCCAACTACATGACATTTTGGAAAAGGCAAAACTATGAAGACAATAAAAAAACCAATGGTTGCCGGGGAGAGCGGGGGTAAAGGGAGGGATGGAGAGTGGGGCATGAGGGATTTGAGCGCAGTGACACTACTCTGTAGGACACTACAATGGTGGATACACCTCGTTATACCTTAGTCAAAGCCCAGAGAATGTTACACCACGAGGGGTGACCCCTAAGGTGGATGATGGACTTCAGTTAATAATAACGATCAATATGAGCTCATCAACTGTAACAAATGTCCCACACTAATGCAAGATATTAACGAAAGGGGAACCTGGCGTTGGGGGGGGGGCACAAGGGAGTATATGGGAACTCTGCTTTTCGTTTCGTTTGCTATAAATCTAAACTGCTCAAAACCATAGTCCATTCAGGGGCGTGTGGCTGGCTCAGTCAGTAAAGCCTACGACTCTTGATCTCCAGAGTGTTCCAGCCCCACACTGGGTGTAGAGATTACTTAAAAAAAAACAGTCTGAGGCCAATCAGTCAAATGTGGTAGCGTCTAAAGTGATGGCTAAGTGATCTGAGATTTTTGGTAACAAATTCACTCAGTATTAACAGAACTTCCTTGCTCAAGCAGCACTCACATTAACTGAAACCACACAGTATCAACTGCATTTGCATTAGTTTTACCATTCATGGTGAATGATCATGGAAACAGCCGTCTCTTAAAGCAATCTTCCAAAACACGAACACAAACGCTATTGTCAAAGCCAGATTGCACTACATTTGACAATCATGAGAGTCGTCCTCATAAATGCATGATACCTTGTTTTCTGGGCTGGAGACGGTATCTATGGTTATCCCCATTTACCGTGAGCACTGTGAGTTATTCCAGGCCTTTGGGATAAGGCAGGACATCCCAAAGGAAAAGGGGGATGCTGCGGGCAGAGAGAGGGCCAAGAGCACACTCCCTGAAGCACCTCTGGTGAGAACAAATCAGAAGTAACACACAGCCATCAATAATAGAGAACCGGTTGAATTTAAAATGAGGAAGTGGACCTACATGCCCAGATACAGAAAATCCTCCGAGACATGGTGAGTGGAAAGACATTCTGCGGTAATGCAGAAGATCTTACTGGTAAAACAAAACCTAAGGTGTCATGGGGTGTGTGCACGCACACAGGAGCGCACAGACAACATGTCTGCAGATGCCCAGGAAAACGTCTGGAAAGATACACAGTTACACCAAACGGTAGTCACCTCAGGGAAATGGATTTGGTGTGGTCTGTGCAAGAAGAGGAATCTGCTTGAATTTATTTTTTATTTTTTATTTTAATTTATTTATTTTTAGAGTGGGGAGAGACAGAGGGAGAGAGAATCCCAAGCAGGTTCCATGCCCAGTGCAGAGCCGGATGCGGGGCTCCATCTCACAACTCTGAGATCATGACCTGAGCTGAAATTAAGACTCAAACACTTAACTAACTGAGCCACCCAGGCGCCCCTGCTTTAAATTTTTTTTAAAAGAGCACCTATTGGGGGCGCCTGGGTGGCTCAGTTGGTTAAGCGACTGCCTTCAGCTCAGGTCATGATCCTGGAGCCCCGGGATCGAGTCCCACATCGGGCTCCCTGCTCGGCAGGGAGTCTGCTTCTCCCTCTGACCCTCCCCCCTCTCATGTACTCTCTCTCATTCTCGCTCTCTCAAATAAATAAATAAATCTTTTTAAAAAAATAAAATAAATAAAAAATAAAAAAAATAAATAAAAAACAACCAATGGGGGCGCCTGGGTGGCTCAGTTGGTTAAGCGACTGCCTTCAGCTCAGGTCATGATCCTGGAGCCCCGGGATCGAGTCCCGCATCGGGCTCCCTGCTCAGCAGGGAGTCTGCTTCTCCCTCTGACCCTCCTCCCTCTCATGCTCTCTGTCTCTCATTCTCTCTCTCGCAAATAAATAAAATCTTAAAAAAAAAAATTATTTAAAAGAGCACCTATTAATTTTAACATAAAGAAAAAAAAACAATACAGGAATGGGGGAAAAAAAGGAAGTGTCCTCAAAGAACTAAACAAATTTGCAGAAGGAGGTGGTCTAGAAGAGTTGGGTTCTGCAGTGAGCCCAAAGCTAACAGGGGACCCAAACCCCTGGCACAGAGGTCACTTGCTCTCATTAGTGATATCACCTGATGTCTTGTTAGCTGGCTAAACAAGACAAAGTCTTAATGGGCTCTAAAACTTATTCTTTCTTTCACACTTGATCTTAGCCAAAAGGCCGAGAAGCGATTATTATTCTTTCAGATTGAGCAAGCACAAACTTTGACCTTGAACTCCACTGCTCAAAGTAAACCCAATCTACAGAAAGGAGGCTGTCAGTTGTCTGCATCTCCCACTAGGCATTTTCCATCATCCTCATCGTCATTACCATCCTTGCCACCATCATCATCATCATCATCATCTAGATGTGAACACTCGTCAAGTGCTCACTGTGTGTCAGGAACTACATTAAACACTTTATGTACATTCAATCACTTACAAATCTTCCAAAGGCGGAATCTACAGGGGAAAAAAAGGAGATGAATCCTAGGAAGCAATTTTCAGGAGCAGATGGAAAAAGAAGGGAAAAACTCTCCTCTTCCTTCTCTTGGTAAATGGTAATATTTGTATTCCTTGCAGATGGTGCCTCCCTGGAATATTGTTGTGACAGCAAAGGCAGGTTCCTTTGGACCTCCTGGTGCTTTTCTCGGTGGCTTTCACTTTTTCCAACCTTTCACTTTCTGGTCCATTTCCGAATGGATAGTTTTAGGAGCCCGTAATGGTTTTAGGAGCTTGTAAAGAGGTATCAAGCCAGCTAAGGCAGAAGAGGTGAAGAGAGGAGAGAAAGGGGAAAGGAATGGAGGAAGTGAGAGAGAAGGAGAAGGGGAGGAGAGGGGAAGATGGAGCTTGAGTCTCCCACAAGAAACAACACCCTATGCAACAGACAAACCACGTCCGGAATGTCCTGCCTGCGGAGCAACACTATTGGACCCAGATGCAGCGCTCCTGTCACACGTCAGCCCAGAGTGCTGAACTGAACTTTAAAACACACAAGTCTATTATTAGTTCAAAAGGGATCTTTCTGGTGGTATTTTTTTCCCATATGCATAAAATTCCCTTATTTCACAATGCTCTCAAAGCACTGGAGAAAATTAAAAAGCATGTTACACTTACCAAAGGATACACGTTGGCACGGTCATCCTTTTGAAACAAAATGTCCTCGCTGGCAGACACCAGTGATTTCTCCGGGATCTCTGCTTTGGACTGGAATTCTTTCTCTTGTTCGTCACTTAAGTATGATAATCTTTTCTCTTCTCTCCTTTCTCGTCCCAATTCATCTTGGGGCATCTGGTCGATTTTCTCCCTGAGCTCACTTGAGGACTGTGTTTCAGGGAAACTATTATCTTGTTCCTCAGAACGGGTTTGATCCAAATCAAGAAATCTTAGTTCTGAGCTCAAGTCTCTTAAAAGCTCATTTGTTTCAGAATGCTCTGATTCTAATGCATGCTTTGACTCGCTAAGGGTTCTCTTAAAAAAGAAATAAAAGACGATTGTGATTCCAAATACAGTGTGTAGCTGCTTCATTCCCTCCTTTACTTTCCTTTCTGTTCCTATTCAGCCAGCCTTAGTGTTCGCCTCACATTGAAACTATGAAGTGTTTTAAAAAGGAGTCTGGGGAGCACCCGGGTGGCTCAGTTGGTTATCTGCCTTTTGGCTCAGGTCATGATCCTGGGATCCTGGGATGGAGCCCCACATTGGGCTCCCTCCTCAGTGGGGAGCCCGCTTCTTCCTCTCCCACTCCCCCTGCTTGTGCGCTCTCTCACTCGCTCTCTGTCTCTCTCTCTGTCAAATAAATAAATAAAATCTTAAAAAATAACAATGATTAAAAAAAAATAAAAAGGAGCCTGGGACATTTTGTACTTAAATAGCATGAATCGTGGGTGTGCCAGGTATATTCTTGGCCTACTAGCAGAACCACACAGCAAAACCATTCTTCTAAGTGGCACTGGTTGTCTCCAAGGATAGACGAGTCACAGAGTCACTTCTCCTTGTACCACAGCTGAGTCCTCCTTCAGGAGGAGGGCCTACATTACTACGATCACGCTGACTCTGTTCTTAGACAAGCACACTCTAACTAACCCCTAGGAGCTCTTTATGTCAGCTCCGCTGCACACCTCCTCCAGGAAGCTTTCCTTGACCATCCTCCTAGTTGGGCTAAGTCCTTGTTTTTTGTTTTTTAAATATCTTCCATGCATCTCTCAATCACTGCACTTAGCATATTGTTTTATGGTGTTCATGTATCAGTCTGCCTCCCTACACACCCTAGAGCTCCTTAAGTGAATGGATTGTATCTTATTTGTATTATCCCCATAGCCTGGCATATGGTAAGCATTCAATGATTCTGAATAAATGAATGAATGAATGAATGAATGAATGAATGACTTAAAATTACTACTTACTAGGGAAGTTCCTGACATGACTGACTGGGAATCAGTCAATGTAAGTCTCTTCAAACTGGTCATGGACTTGGTGACTTCTGGAGGCTTCACTGTAGTTTCTTCCTGTCCCGCAGCCCCCTCCTCCTGTGCTGCTCCAGGCTTTTCCTCTATTTCTTCTCTGACGGCCTCCTCCTCCCCCCCATATTCTTCCCCCTCTTCCTCCTCCTCCCCTTCGTCTTCCTCTTCCCATTCCTCCCCTTCTTCCTCCTCCTCCCCTTTTTCTTGCACTCCTTCCTCCTTCTCCCATTCCTCCTCCTCCCCCTCTTGTCCTTTCTTCTCTTTCTCCTCTACTCCTCCCCCCTCCTCCCCTGGCTCCTCTTCCTCCACTCTATCCTCCTCCTCCGCTTCCCCTTCCTCCCCCCCTTCCTCCCCCTCTTCCCCTTCTTCCTCCCTTTCCTCCCCCTCCTCCCTTTTCCCTCCCCTCCTCCCCTCCTCCCTTTCTTCGTCCCCCACCTCCTTTACCCCTTCCTCCCCCTCCTCCCCTTTGTCCTCCACTCCTTCCTTCTCTTCCTCTTCCTCTCTCCCTTCCTCCTCTCCTTCCTCTTCCTCCTCCTCTTGCTCCCCCTCCTGCTGAGGCTCTTTCCGTACTAATATGTCATCTTCTTTTAATTCCTGTTGCATACTTTCCATCTCTCTATAATATTGGTTATACTCTTCTTCCATTTCTGTTTCTCCATCTTCTTCTGCTTCTTCTAGTGGGGACTCCCCTGCATCTGACATTCTTCTTTGTGGAGTTTCCTTTAGAGAAATTTTGACCATAACAATCAGTAGTTCCCTCTGTTTCCCATTTTAATTTCCTGGTGCACTAACCTATCGATGAAGTGTGCAATACCAGCTCCTTTCCACAGGAATGAAAGGAATCTCATACTTCTGGGAAAGCCTGTCCCAAATCTAAAGCATATTAGATGCCGGGGCCTCTCATCTTTCTAGGAATAACTTTAGAGCATTGTAACTCACTTTATGTATATTCATATTCCCACAGGCAGCAAACTGACAACCCAGGCATTAACAACAATTCTAATAATGTAAATAAGGGCAGAAGCAGTGGCTTAGTGGTTAAAAGCATGGGCTTTGCAGTCGGCCTCTCCTAGCACTGAATCCTGGTTCCACCACCCACTTGCTCTGTGACCTTGGGCAAGTCACTGTACCCCCTCAGAGTCCAAATTTGCTCACAGGCAGAATAAAAATGAGAACCCTAAATTCTGGGGTTGAGATGACACGTAAAATGCTCAACGCAGCTGCCGCAGAGGGCTTGAGAAAGGCAGCAATCGTTTACAAAGTTTAACAGACTTCTAACATAATCTCTCATTTATTTCTTCCGACAAACTTGAGTTTGAGGCTCTGGGAGTTGAAGTGACTTAATCAGATCACACCGCTGGGAAGAGGCAGACCTCTCTAACGCTCGGTTCCTCCGGCTGGAAAAGCATTGCTACGATTCCGAGCCCGGGGCCCTGAGCACGGGGCCTGCTCGGACTGCAAACTTTGCGGGCGCATCTTGATGCGGGGGGTCCAGGGGAAGGGAGGAAAGTGCGGGGAGGCTGTGGGGGTGGGGACACAACGCCCAGGCGCGGCTCCTTCCTCCAGCTCAGGTCTCTCTGAGGCCGCCCCGGGCCCCCGCCCAGGTGGGGCGAGCGCCCCCCACCCCGCGGGGCACCAGGCCCTCCTACGCCAGGGCCCCGGCCCCCGACTCACAGAGCGCGCCCTCCGACGGCCTCAAAGGCCAGGCCCTCCCGCCGCCTGGACCCCTCGGTCACCTCCGCAGCCTCCAGCGGCCGCCGCTTTCTCCTTCACGCGCTCCCTATAGCTACGGTTGCCACCCAAGCCCCGTCCCCAAGGTAACTGCCGCCACGGCGACCGGCCGTAAAGCGGGAGGGCTGGCCGGTGGTCACGTGCCCGAGGCTCTGCCGCGGGCGGGCCGGCACGCCCCCTGGCGGTCCCCGGGGAGAGGCGCGGCTGCGGCCCCCGCGGCCAAGTTAGCCTCCCTCCACCAACTACTTCCCAAGGCGCCGCCGAAGCCTGAGAAGCCGCAGCGCTGGCTACCTGCAGTTGTGACTTTCCGAAGGCCTGAGGACGCGAAGTACGAGCTGTTTGGTAAAATTCTCTTTGCCAAAAGCAAACTAAATTTGCCGGTCTCTCAGACGCAGCACTTTCTCAAAGGCACTCCATGTTGGGCGCGGTATTTTAGCTAGCTCGGATGACACACTATGTAGGCTACATGATCTTGCTCTTCTTATCACAAAATGTGTCCGCAAAACCATCTTAGTTCAACCTATTAAGATCATTTCAAAATGACTCTCAGCTACAATCTCACACACCATCCTGAGGTTTCTAAAGGGAGACCTGCAGGAAGCCAGCCAAAGGCACTGACGCGGCAAACTCTGGTGCTCTCATTTTAGGAGAATGTCAATGATTCTTCCCGCCCCTCCCCACCTCCAAGCCCCAACGCCGGTTGATTAATAAGCATACATCTCAAAAAAAGGAACAAACTGGATGGTACAAGCTGTGTTTATTATAATCTAAGGCTTATAAAAAGAGATTGGAAAACACTTGGAATCAGCACACACAATTTAAACAGCAAATGCTGGTAAGCACGGCATGTCTGTGGCTACAAGGGGGGGTGCATGTGGATGTAACTTTTGGGGAACACACTCAACAGGATGGTTTTCCAGCTGAGCATGAGAATCCATGGCTGGAAAAGCACGCCCCAGTGCTGACTCCTGTCAGGGCAAGCTGGTTTCTGTATCCAACCCAAGCAAATCCATTCCCAAGGAACCCAGGCATGCCTCAGCAGAATGGGCCACACCACCTCTGAGACAGAAAGCGGTGTGCAAGAAATGGGGAAATAAACACTGGGATAAGGTGAAGAAAGTAAAACACAGGGTCACTAAGAATCACTGAAACCCATGTTGCCATGTGAAAGAGAAAATAAAAGGAAGAAGGAATCAGCATTTTCAAGAAGTCAGATCTGCACACACTGCTGGTTGCCATCAGCGATCAAGCACACCTTGGCAGTTTACAAACTTCTGTTGATCTGAGGGAATGATGAGGAGGTTCAATTATAAAAAATCAATTTAGAAGGTAATTTGCAAGGCTTTTTATTCCAGAAACGAACGGAGCTTGCTTCCCTCTAGTGGTTTACAGAAGAGGAAGCGGACACTGCAGTGAGCTACCCGGGGAGCTTGCTGGTTTTCCCTATTCTTCAAGGGAGCAGTTGTGGCCCCAGAGGATATAATTTCTGTATCCAGAGCAGCAGTGACACAATGCAAATGCAGATGGTGCAAACGCCATTCACCAAAGTTTGATGCTTGTTCTGTCCAACTTTTTTTTTTTTTTAATAAGCTCTACACCCAACATGGGGCTTGAACCTACAACTCAAAATCAAGAGTTGTATGCTCCACTGACTGAGCAAGCTAGGCACCCCTGTCCAACTTTCTGTAAAAATGTTCTAATTCCTGTCTGAGCTTTGGTTTGAGAGGTTCATAAGAAATTCAGTTGGCACTACATGTTAACTAAATTTAATTTAAGTAAAAACTTAAAAAAAAAAAAAAAGAAATCCAGTTGGGGTGATAACATGGTCATATCAGCACTAAAACCTGTGTTTATTTGGGGAAAGAAATCCTAAAAGAATAAAGTCCTATCAGCACCTACCAGAATAACTCCCGCCCACTGGCCCACAATCCAGAGGACTCCCATTTAGGGCCATGGCCTAATTTGCAAAAGATGCCAAGCACACATCAAGTTAACAATGCCTTAATCCCAAGAGATTACACTGGGAGGCCACAGCATTTCCTTCACCCAGAAGTTCAGGTTTCCAGCCTCTTCCAGATCCTTAAGCTTCGGGGACAGAAGAGAAGGAAGAAATTCCCACCAGACCCACATCCAGGAGAAGGGAAGATGTTTTCCTATTACTGTTCCCCAGCGACAATCATCTTTGCAAAGGAATAATGTTGCAGCTGGAAGAAAAAAAGAAAAGGAACAACAAATTTGGTGGCTCCATTCAGAAGACCAGAAAGTGAGCCCTCTGAGTGTTTCACCTGCACTCTTTTAATTCTTTTAAAGCAAATGCCCAGTTATTGAAAGAACCAGAGTGACCGGGGCTCCCTCTGCCTCCATACCTGCAATCTCATTCCTGCTGCAGGTGCTTATCAGGAGTTTCTACAGGTGATCTGGGGAACACCCTCATTTCCCAGTGCCCCCCCCGCCACCTCCTCCCCAGAGCTTTAGGGCTGACACACACTCAAGTGACAACTGACAGGGAGTTGTCAGTGAGCAGAAATGATACTTTACCCCAGCAGTCCTTTTCCTGCCCAGCGGGTCGGGACAAGTCTAAGCTGGTGTTTCTCCCCTCTGCGGATCACTGTCACATTCAGGGGTTTCTGAAAGGAAAATAAGCTCATTTTATAGTCAACCTGTTTAGTATTCAAAGAGATTCAGACTAAAATGCCGAGATACTGACTTTTGCACATCAGAGTGGTAAGGATGCTTATATTAATCATAGTCCTGCAGTTGTCAAGAGTGTGGGGGATGTGACACTCTTGGGGTACCCGATGGGCCACAAATTGGTAGCGTATTCCTGGACAAACATGTCTCTCCACCAAAAAAAAAAATCTTTAAAAAGGCACACATGAGATACATTTTGCAGAAGTACAAGATGATATATGAACAAAGTGTTCCTTCTAGGACTGTTTATAAATTCAAAACCTGAAAATACCCAAAATATCCCTCGATAAGGTATTACTCAAATATAGCATAGTGAATGAAGCAGTTTTAGTAAAACCAAAACAAAGTATGAACCCATCTGAATATACGTTTTTGTGTTTGTTTGTTTTTTATTTATTTTTTAAATTCTTTTTTAAGTAGGCTCCATGCGCAACGTGGGGCTTGAACTCTCAACCCTGAGATTAAGAGTTCAGTGCTCTACCAACTGAGCCAGCGAGGCACCCCTGAATATACCTTATAAAAGGGCATATATATATTGCTTCATGCATACAAAACTCTCTGGAAGATATACAAAAAAAACTGTTAACAATGGTTACTTGCAGAGAGAAGCACTAGGAGTTCAGAGTGAAAGAAGATGACATTTACTTTTGTATCTTTCTTTTTTTTTCTTTAAAGATTTTATTTATTTGAGAGACAGCAAGCGAGAGAGCACAAGCAGGGGGAATGGCAGAGGGAAAGGGAGAAGCATACCCCCTGCTCAGACTCCAGGTCCAATTCCAGGACCCAGGGATCATGACCTGAGCTGAAGGCAGATGCTTAACCAAATGAGCACCCAGGCACCTCTACTTTTATATCTTTCTGTACCATTAATTTGTTTTTAGCATGTGTATGTATTACTTTGATGTAAAAAATTAAAACAGAATACATATGAAGGCAACTTACAAATTACAAGGTGCATCAAAATCTAGAACTTTGTGCATCAAAGGACACTATCAACAGAGTATATCAACAGAGTGAAAAGTAACTCACAGAATGGGAGAAAATATTGGCAAATCATATATCTGATAAGGGATTAATATCCAGAATATGTAAAGAACTCCTGCAACTCACAACAATAGCAAATAAAATAATTAAAAAATAAGCAAAAAACACAAGTAGACATTTCTCCAAAAAAGAGAAACAAATGGCCAAAAGCACATGAAAAGATGCTCCACATCACTAATCATTAAAGAAATACAAATCAAAACCACAATGAGGTATCACTACATATCCACTAGGACGGCTACTATCCAAAAACAGAAATGACAAGAGTTGGCGAGGATGTGGAGAAACTGGAACCCGTGTGCACTGCTGGGGGAAATGAAAAATGGCCAGCCACTGTGGAAAACAGTATGGCTGTTCCTCAAAAAACTGATAAAAGATTTACCACATAATCCTGCAATTTTTTTTCAAAGATTTATTTATTTGAGAGAGAAAGACCATGCAGGGGGAAGGGCAGAGGGAGTCCCAAGCCGACACCACTCTGCGCGTGGAGCCCCAAGAGGGGCCTGATCTCATGACCCCGAGG